GGAGCATTACATTTTGATGAATACACTTGCAGAAAGGTTACATTAAAGCACAGCAAGATACAAAGCTGAGATATGTATAAGGGTGCTATTTTATGCAAATACCTTTTATACTGAGATGGTGTTGTAAGAGATGCTGGAATTCAAATGGATCAAAAAGGACCATGAGACGTTGACTGAAGTATGGTTGAGATGTTAGTGTATTTGACTCACTGACATATTATAGAAATACTATGACATGAATAAAAAAGTGTATTTCAGAAATTTGCAGGTGACCTTTTTATTCCTACGTCATTGACCCAGTTAACCATAATAGTAAATGTACTTAGCGTCAGCTATTGGAGCTTTATATTGGATTAGAGACATGGTTATAATATAACACAAGTTGTATGTTTATGTAAAAAAAAATTAAGCAATCATATGTACTTGGAACCCTTAATTGGTTAATGAAACATCTACATCAGATATTCAACTTAAAGAATCTTTTTGCAGACTTGATTCTCATGAAGTGATTTCACTTAAGAAATAGCCAGTGTAGAAAGCCAAGGGCTTGAAATATTAGAAAAATTATATGTAAATAGAGTAAACCATTCCGATTTCATTTATTATTACTTTAAAGAGGTCTTTTGGATCTAGCTATTTGGATTCGGAAAAAGCAGAATTGTTGATTGACTATGGAGAATTCTAGGCACAAAGAATGTCATGTTCCTCTTGCTCTCACTTTTGAAGAGGTTTGATGTCCTTCAAATATGGTTATAGTCAGGAGAGTGACATTGCATCAAAATGCAATAGGATATGTCTCGACTACATTGTTTTTTAAAAAAAACCTGTCCTTTTATAAAAAAAACCCTTCACCTGCATTCATACTGCAATCACATTCTTTCGAAATTAAATCAAAAGAATGGAGGTTTTTTTTTTTTTACATTGGTATACCTCAAATTACGAGGAAGAACACCTTTTTTGAAAGAGCTCTTTTGAAAAAATGCGTATGTAGACGCAGAACAAGGATTTTTTTCAAAAGAAAAGGCAATCGAAAAAAGCACAGGTGCCCTGGTGGCCACTAGGTGAATAGCAATCAGGCTTTCTTTCAAGGGAGCGTCCATGCAGTCTGGATGCTCTCTTTTGAAAAAGCAGATCGCTTTTTTGATCCGGTTTTAGATGTGGATACTCTCTTTCGAAAGACGCTTACAGTCTAGATGTACCATTATATGGAACAGTTATATCCTCTCAGTGTAGTCAGTCTCACTATGGTGATTTTACATCCTTAATCTTTATTGGCTTTAATGATGGATGAGCCAGAAGGAACACTGCCTGTGTTTGAAATTTCAGTTTGAGTTTGCAGTACTGGCTCTTGCAAGGAGGTAGGGAGGAACTTTCTCAGGAAGTTACTGTATAAAATGAAGTATTTTCAACCTTGATAGTTCACTTTTCTTCCACCACAGGCAGAAAATGTAAGACTTCACTAGACTTGCAAGGGTAATCAGCTGTGTAGTCATATTTCCACATATTCGCTCGTTTTCTAGATAGTATACATAAGGAATTATTGCCTTTTCATGTTGTCTTTGGAAGGAAGATAGTACTGCAGGACTTTCTGTTTTTAGTTTTTGTTTTGCTATTTCCCATTACAAATGCAAGTAGATCAATTATTACTTCGTACTAAAATATTCTGGACCATTAAAGCTATTTATACTAATTATATGCAGATATCAGAAGTGTTAACTAAGTATGTTAAATAACGATTAATTTACTAGTCAAGTAGTCGCTGGAATTTCCATTGACTAATTGATAGGCACTTGCACACTCGTCCTTTGAAATGTACAAGAACCCAAACATTTCAAAATTGGAACTCCTCATGCAGCCTGGGGCCAGCAATGTAATAGTATAGTTGATTAACCGATTGACCAATAGGCAAAAGCTTATAGGTTAGTGCTATAGACTACATGCATTTCCCCGTTCTCCCCACCGCCACCCCTTGCCAGTAAATTTTTTAGCAGACTTGCCAGCAGCCCAGTTCAATTCCAGCTTGTGCTGGGTCCAGGACCTACCCCTCTGTAGCTGTGCATTTCAAAGTAGAAGCGCTCGCGTGGAGCCCAGAGTCAGCAGGACTTCCTGTGGGCCTCAGGCTGCATGAGGTGTGCCAGCTTTGAAATCTACCAGAGTCCGCAGCAGGGGATTTTGTGCATTTTGAAGTGAAAATGCCTTCATAGAGCCTGGGGTCAGTGGGGGACTCAGAGTCCTCTGCTGACTCTGTGCTCTATGCAGTGCTGCCGCTTTGAAATCCCACGCAGAACCCAGGATCCAGCTGGGGACTCCCCAGCTGACCCTGGGCTCTGTGCACTTTGAAATACTGTGCTAGAGCCCGGGATCAGCCCGAGTCCCCAGCTGACTCCGGGTTCCATGGAAATGCCTCAGGGAGCCTGGGGTTAGCTAGGGAGTCCCCAGCTGACCATGGGCTCCACGCAGTGCTTCCACTTTGAAATGCCTTGGTGGTATTTCAAAGGGGCAGCACTGCATGGAGCCGAGGATCAGCTTTGTGGCCCTGTCCCTTTGAAATGTCACCAAGGTGTTTCAAAGCAGCACCACTGCATGGAGCCCAGATACGGGTTCTCTGTGCTGCTGCCACATTGAAGTATCTCCTCTCCGCGCCCCCCCCCTTTGCTGCCTCTGTCTGATAGAGGCAGCAATTGGGGGCGAGGGGGTGGGAGGGAATCAAGTAGTCCTTAACATCCTTAGTGTTAACAAATTTCACTTCCATATAACTTTGTGACCTGTAATTCCCATCTATTTTCAATATCTGACCAAGGTTGGGAGAAAAAGTAGCAAAACAAAGTCTAGTTAGGCAAGTCACCAACACACTGAAACAATATAACTGAAGTACTCCTTACTTCTAGTAGAGTATGACTTTAATTATTATCGAGATTTTACTCCTACAAGACACTTTCCTCAAATTCTTAGGCTTGGTCTACACTTTAAGTTAGGGTGACCATAGCTACAGCACTCAGGGGTATGAAAAATTCACTAGTTCATCTGACTAACCCCCGTGTGTTCTTCCATTGACCTAGTTACCACCACAGAGGATGGAAAACCACACAGGGTAAAAAACCCTCTTCCGTTGCCATCGGAAGTATCTATACTACAGTGATACAGCAGTATACCTGTAGTGTGATAGTTGTGCTGCTGGATCACCCATGGACATGGCCTTGGTTAACAACTGATTTTTTAAAATTTTTGTTCGTTTTTTGGTGTGTGTGGGTTGTGTTTTTTTGTTTTTGGGGTTTTTTGTTTGTTTGCAACACCAGTGCATGTTTTATAGCACTGTAAACTGAAACCTTTGTACTGTCTTGTGGATACAACTGTTTGGGGGTTTTTGTTTTGGAAAGCTCTGTCTTAACAACTCCAGCTCTCTTGTGTGAAATTATGTGGAAATCTTGAGTTTTTTTGCTTCCTCTAAATATTGTCTCTTTTGAGATGCTGCTAAGATTCTCTGCCTTGTGTCTTTGAAATTGTAGCAATAACTGTTTTATTTTGTTGACTGTAACTGATCCCTTTGTAAGGAAGTAGTGGTTGCAGTGGTGGTGATGAAATTCCCTGTTGTACGGGTATAGGTAAGGATGAAAGCACAAAACAATTAACATGAGCAATAGATGGAAGTCTCTCAAAAATGGATTGTGATTGTCCTGATCAAGAGTCTAAAAGAGTGTTTAAGAAGGACAGAAATTATCAGGAAAAAAATTCATTTTAAGGTTAGCCGGATTGGTTAGTCTCATAAAAGTCTTCCTCCTTGGTAACGACACTACTGCAAGCTCAATTTAATCCTTTACCACTTCCTTGTTGGGTCATTCATAGTTTCTCTTTATAGTGTGTAGTATTGGCATTGCATGGAATGATGGCAGTTAAAAGAAATTCATTATGGCTCAAGATTTTGTGTGATTCGTTTGAGACACCTCCTGTGTGAGTATAAGATTAAAATTTGTTACTGTCTTCCATTTCAGGGATGGAAGGTGTAGTTAAGAGCAGGAATCTCTGTCCTATGGGAACAGGAGTGGTTTGTGCATTGAAAACAAGATAGAACAAAACCTCATATTACACTGTAAAGAACAACCAAACCTACACTGTTAGGAAAGTTGGCTGAATGGCCTAATAGTAGCTCTTTCAGTTCTATCTTGTCAGTTTATGACTCTTCAGTAGTCTAGCAACAGGAGCAAACAAATAATATATTGAGAGGGTTTATTTAATTTAACTCCTTCTGTAGTTTAGAAATTGCTGCTGTAGCCTGAGCACCATTAGATAGTTACAATCAGAAAATGACTGTAAAAAATGGTCCTTCTGACATGCTCAGCTTCTTTATATTCACAGTTTCATCAGCAGACAAGTTTTTATTTCAGCTAGCACTGTACAGTGACTAAAGCTGTAGGGAAGTGAGCAGGATTATTTTCTGAGAAATATGTGATGCTGTAATTATACCACTTCAGTGCTGTAGTATATATGCTTTGTGCAGTGATGGAAGAGTTTTTTCGATCCCCTGAAGGAATGGTAACTAGATTGACAGAAGCATTCTTCCTTTCCATTGATCTGTATGCATCTACACTGTGGGTTTGGCACAGCTACAGCAATCAGCAGTGTAAATTATTTATAGCCAGAGCACTGTAACTATGCTGACTTAACTTTTAAATGTAGACCTTGCCTCAAGAGAGAATGTAGCTTGACTTTGCGGTCCCAAGTTTATAGAGCTCACTGTTAGGAAGAAAACCATTCACTTGTAAATTGAGCAGATTAGATCCGTCATCCATAATTAAATACATAATACTATGATATCACTCCATCATATGACCACATGTTAAGTTCACTGATTATTTCAGTGGCTAATTTCATGAACTGCTCTATCTTTTTACCTCTTGCCATCTTTGTTTCTTCTCTTTTTTGGTGGATAGATATATTTCAGACTAGAACCTTACAGTGAACATGCAATCACAATAGCTGAGCCAAAATATATTGTGTTTTAGGGACTGAGGTTCAGTTGGCATGCTGATTTTTCAAGCTGATATCTCTTTCAATTGCTGAGGTAAGTGTCTGAAAGTATGCAGTATGCTGTAACTTTTGAGTGAGACATCTTAATTCATAAGGGGTTAATACAAAATTCAGTAGCATATCTGATTAAAGATAACTTTAAATTACTCCTTTTATAGTTTGTTTAAAATAAATACGTTAAATTCTGTCTCTTACTCAAGGGCCACTTTCTGAATTTATATTTATTTTTGAATCCTTTCGTAGACATGAGATCACAGTAGTGGTGTAGCTTATGAGAGCAGATAAATAAACTAAAATGTGAATACATGAAAGTTATCTTCAGATTTATGGTCAGGCACTTTGTCCTTAGACAAGGTGTCATACTGGCTTGTTAATTTATCCTCGTGGCAGAATTGCGTGAGTTTCAGTTTGATTAAAATCCTAACTGCTTTAGGTTGTACTGTAAACTTGTTTGTGTTCCTTGAACTTAGGTAACGAAGTTGTCATAACTTATAACAACTTACTAGCTGAGTTTTTCTTCCAAATACAAAATGACACTTTCGTATAAATGAGCTTGCTTACTCTTATATGCTGTTTAAATGTTAACCTACTTATTAAAGCAGAACAAGGATGCTGTACTGCAACTGTGGCTAGGTCTGTTCTTTATGAGGGGATTGGAAAAGAAAGAATACAGTGATGAAATAACTATGGGAGGATGAAAAAGGGAGAGGTAGTTTCTAATTGAACAAATGACTTCTAGTGAGAGGGAGGGACTAAGTGAACCAGTGCTTTTCTCTTGTAATTATGTGAACTTTTTTTGGTATAGTGCCAAAAGGCGCACAGTGCTGGACAATAGGAGACTTGTTTCAAACAAATAGCACGTTCCCTGTTTTGAAGGACTTGCCATCTGTGAATGTACAAGACTATGCCTTACAAAGATATGATGGTGCATGGTCAGTGGAATTCATCATGGAACAGGTGGGTTATTAAGAACTTTTTGAAGGATACTTAAGGAATTTTCTGTGTATTGACTGGTGGGACTGTTGTATTCTTTCATCTCTGAGCTCTCTAAAGACCTGTGGTGTAGTTAGGCCTCCCATTACTCCCCTTCCAAAGGGGAAGAGTAGCTGAAGCAACAGTGGAGCCACAGGGGCGGGAGAAGTTGTGTCTTTATTCACGTTTAGCTACTCAGATACCATTAGGTTGTCACAGTTTTTTAATTCTTGTATCTGTTTCTGTAGCTTGGCAGGAAAGAGTACATATTGGGTCAGCAGTGATGAAGCAAGCTAGCTACATGAATGTGGGTGTGAACTGTGCAGTTGATTTAAAAAATAGCTGAGGCTAACTAATAACATGTACTTTTGACATTGTCTATATTTGTGTATTATTTGTTTTGAATAATTAGACTATTCAAGGCAGGATCTGTTTCTAAATGTCTTCATATGACTACTCACACAGTGGGACCCTGATCCAGATCACAGCCTCTATGTGGTTGTAGCATATAAATAATAAATGTTTGCAATGACCTAGTGGCTGAACATGATGTTGTCCGTGTATATGAATAACTTATATGGGTTGAGACAGGAGGGGTGACCTTGTGAACTCTTAAATTTGTGTTGACTGACTGACACAGACCTTACGGATTGTGCTTGACATAATTGTACTGGTGGAGGTGGCAAGTTAATTTTTTCCAACTGTGCCATTTCTTCAGATGCACAGTAACTTTGCAACACAGTTTTTTTTATGAGGCTGTCAGCATAACCAAGCATTTTGTAAAAAGAACATTTTGTTTTTCCCCCTGGCTACGTCTACACTGGCCCCTTTTCCGGAAGGGGCATGTAAATTTCACCAGTCGTCGTAGGGAAATCCGCGGGGGATTTAAATATCCCCCGCGGCATTTAAATAAAAATACTTTGAAATAGGAATAAGACCCTCCGGAAAAGGGCACTTTTTCCGGAGGATCGGGGCCAGTGTAGACGCTCTTTTCCGGCTTTTTTAAAAGCCGGAAAAAAGCGGCGGACATTTTTATTTAAATGCCGCGGGGGATATTTAAATCCCCCACGGATTTCCCTACTACGATAGGTGAAATTAACATGCCCCTTCCGGAAAAGGGGCCAGTGTAGACGAGCCCCAGTAGTTTAGCACAGAATATGACCCTGAAGCCAGTCTTTTAGCTTCACCTGAGCCATGTAGATACATGGTTAGAAAACAAGGTTAAAAAGTTATCTTCAGTTAACTGACTTTGAAGTCAAGCTAAGACTCCATCTGTTCTAGCTACTTATTACCATACTCCTCCTCAATATGAGGATGTCACGGAATTACACTTACCCTGTTTTCTTCAGAGGAATCAAATGCAAGTATCTGCTGTTGAACTGTTGAGGACCTGTTTTCTCTTAGGCACAAATATTATTACACTCATTCATACATAGCACCTCAGTAGAATTCAGTCTTTCTTGTCATCAAAAGATTGGGCCTGAGGTAGGGTTATAAAGGATAAGCATATGCTTATCGGGTAGTAGAGTCAACTACTCGTATTTCCTCCCCCGCTCTTGCTGCCTCTGTATCGGGCAGCAAGGGAAGGGGTGGAAGCAGGAGCCATTTCTGGGAGCAGCCAGCTTAAAAGCCGGTTCTCCCCAGCACCGTCTCTGCGGTGCCACCTGCCTCTCCCCTCCTCTCTACCCCCCCCCCCCCCCCCGCCCCACCCCCCATGTGGGCAATAAGCATACAACTTGGGTGAAGACTTAACGATTTTACTAAGCAAATATTAGGGTAAAATACAGTTCTTAATATTAGAGTAAAATACAAAGAAGCAAATCTTAGAATAAAATACAATACTTATTAAGCCTAAGCAAACCTCAAAATAAAATGCAATGCTTATTAAGAAAGTACAATGCTTATTAAGTCTAAGCAAACCTCAGAATAAAATGCAATGCCTACGTCCCTTCTGCTGCCGCGAACCCCCTGAAGAAGGACAGCAGACGGATCCCAGTGGCCAGTGCGTAGCACCTTCTGCGGCTTTGGTCTACACCGAGGTTCCAGTGTTAGGAATATCCCCAGCACGTATATACTGTTGGATATACAGTAGTTACCCCTGTTGATTTTGAGAACCTAACAAGATCGTCAATACATTACATATTTTCCCACATCCAATAATTAGCTTGTTGATACTTTGCATATTTTCCCAGGCCAAGACACTCCAGCTGATTTCCTGCTCCACATTTCACTGCTCCTTTGAAGTGCTTCTCTGGTGCTTCAAAGAGGCAGCACTGCACAGGGTGGCCATTCCAAGGGGTGGTGCTTCATGGCGCTGGGGTCAGCTGGGGACTCCAGCTGATTCTGGGCTCCTGCGGTGCTGCCCCTTTGAAACGCTGCCATTGCATTTCAAAGAGGCAGATGCACTGAGCCTGGGGTCAGCTGTGAACTCCAGCTGATCCCGGTATTCCACAGCACTGCCCCTTTGAAACGCCGCTGCAGCTTGACAGCCCTAATTTTTTAATCACTTGACAGCCCTAATTTTTATCTGTAAACATAGATTTCACCAGGCCGTCACAAACTAAGGAAGAAATATTTTAATCAATTATAATAAAAATTTACAGATAGCCAACCATTACTTCATCTGTCATGTTCTCTTCAGTCTGACCATGTCCCAGTTCTGTCTCCTCCTTTCCATGGCTCCTAGTTCCATTCATGTTTTCCTCACTTAGCTAGTCCTTGGCATCACTTCTTACGCTTCTGATCCCAAATTTAGTGTCCTTGTTCAGCAAGTCTTGGTCTTACCTCTCGAAGATTCCCAGTCCCAGTTTACCTAAGCAGCTGCCGGCCAGCAGGACTCTTTGGCAGGCCCTCTGGCTGCCAACATCCCCAGACTGCTCAAAGTGTTTGCCTGTTCACGTGCTGCCTCCACTCACCCAACGTAATCTCTCAGCTCCCGTTGCCTGGTTCCCAGCCAGTATTAGCTGAGAGATTGTACTTGCAGTGGGCACATACAGCTTTCCCTCCCGTACACGTGCAGCACAGAGAGGCACAGGGGGCAGCCAGCCGCTTTAAACAGCACAGAGCTGCTCTGTGCTATGTGAGCAGGCCGTGGGCCAGATTAGAAATCTCAGCTGGCCATATCCAGTCCATGGGCTGTATCTTTCCCATCCCTGTTTTGAAGTTGGGAAATGCCTATTAAATGGCTTCCTTATCACTTGAATGGCTTTCACAGGTTCAAGTTCTGCTAATAGGCCTGGCAGGCTTTTTCACTTTTACTTTAACTAGTTCCTCTCCAGGGGAAGCAGACAGCAATACAGGAATAGGAAGAAGTAGGCAGGTGAACATTAAGACCCAGTGGTGCTCCAATTTTTCAGCGGCCCTATGCAGCTGTGTATTCTGCCTCTGGGTAGGGATGGCTCTGGAAAGCATTGCCAGAATTTAACAGGTGTAAACCATTTTTCTAGTCTTAGTGTAGAAATGTCTGAACCATTTTGGTTGACATCCCCCCCCAAAAAAATCAGACCAAGTCAGACACCCAGCATGAAGAATTTTTTGTGTTCACAAGAGGCAGTGAATTACCTGAACAGCACTCTGTCCCACCTTGCAACCATAAAATCAGGAGCCAGCAAATGATAGAGTAGCTGTCTTGGCTTGTTGGGATCATCCTTGCCTGACATTAAAGGTGTATGATCTGGAGAGAGCAGTATACGTGGGTTTTGCAGATGAGCCACTTGCACAGGGCAGAACTCTTGTCCCACAAAGGATGTGAAGTGTAGAGTGGAGGTGCAAAGGTTGCAGAGCAAAGTTTGTGACAGCCGAGGCCAAGCTGATGAACTGCTACTGTTGGTCAGAGCTCTGTCTGGTCAAGGTGTAGAGATGGAATAAAGCAATCTCTGGGTCTCTAAGCACACAATAAAGAATAACCCACCAATAACCCCAACACACAGTAGAGTGTCAGTGGCACATGCCCCTCTCCCTCTTTGGAGGTGTGGCAGCAGCTGGGGCCCCTAAAGGGTGGAGCTTTACCCAGCTATCATATGTTGTCCCCAGAAGCTGAGTGCTATTTGAATAGGGATTCTCAACATTCAGTTTCCCCAACAAGGCTTTTATCTTTATCTAGAGATCCAGTAGAAGTCACTACATTTATGAATGGAAGAGCACCTGTTGTAGAATTTGGGTCCATTGTGCTGCTGAGTGCATAGAACCCTTTGTTGTTCACTGAACACCAACAATCTGCTAAGTAGCATATGTAGAAGAGACTTCTGTCCCTGCTTCTAATTAAATTTCAACTACATCTATTCACATTGCTTTCCATGCATAAGGCATCTCAGAAGATGTTGCAAACAGTAAATTATACATTAATATTGCAGTGGATGTGACCATTTGTGCATACAAAACTTTGGACTATAGAACTTATTGGTACTGAGAAAAGGAATATTGGCCAGGGCATCCTTTTCTCCATTTGAGAAGTGCCATGATATGACATTCACCTGCCCCATGGCCTTAAGCTTACAGGGACTGAGAAAACACAATTGGAGAAAAGTTGACTTGTTTTAATAGAGGCAGTCACAAATTGGGCTTATAGTAAACAAGCATGTGTACATACATATTTTAAAAACATAGCATCTTAGTTAATAGTTTGTTCTCTCAGCTTTAATTTCAGTTTTGCATGCTTAAAAAATTCTTTAAGTAGAAGCAGTATCTATACACGGTCGCACAATCATTTCAACAAAATCTGTAGCCTTCATTTGTAGAGCCCTACATGGATATCCACAGCTGCATCCACAAAATGATCCGTGAATATCCACATATTTGTAGGATTCTAGATAAAAATTTGCATCTTCATCCATTAAAAAAATGAGCTGCGGATATCTGCATTTTTATTCATAGATGTGGAAACTTTTTGTCTATAAAGTAGATACAGTAAAACCTGTGTTATCTGGCACTCCCAGGGATTAGGGCGTGCTGGTAACCTAAAAATTCTAGTTATCTGAGGAGGGGGA